GTTATTGAAGCTAGAAAACTGAATATCGAATATGAGGCTAACTTAACCGCGGTATAGTTTTTCGCTTTCTACTTTCAGTTGTCTCCAGTAAAGGTTCTACATGTTTAAAACACCCACCCATCCATCCATAACCACTCATCCGACGACAGAATTAAAAAAAAAAAAATTCTAATTTGTTTCTGGTTATATCATGGGAAGTCGTGCTAATTTTATTATATTTATTCATCTTATTTTAAGATAAAATGTGCAGAAATAGTCAGGAACTCACTACTATCTTGACACGCTACACGTCTTTCCCCCTCCATCCAATCAGCTTCCACAGGAGGGCCTGACGCGTGTACAGATCGTCCAATCAGAATCTACCTGTTCCGCAGTTAATGTTGTCCGGCTGAAGGAGCCTGGGAGACGCATGTGCTTGCAGCAGTTTTGAGTTTCCTGTCTTTGGCCGAATTATAGTTGCGTTTTGTTACGTGCTTGAATGACAATATTGGGAAGTCTGTATAGAGCAGACGACATTATGGTTGTAGGAAAAGGGGTGAACTCTGTTAAGTGTAACTTTAGAAATCCTTTTTCTAAATAGATAGTTGTTGAAGAAGACCAATGCAGTAAAGGAGCGAGAACCCGGGATTGGAGTCGGACTTTAGTTTTGCCAGCTCGAAGCCGCCGCGATGAGCCTTTTACCCCGCAGCGCAGAGGAGTTCAGCTCGGCGGAGTACTGGGAGCGCTTTTTCCGGCGACGGGGAGACAAGGCCTTCGAGTGGTATGCTGACTACAACCAGCTGTGCGGGCTGCTGCACAAGTACATCAAACCCCGCGACAAGGTGAGGCTGCGCCGCGGGCAGCGTCTCCCATACTTAATTAGGGTCACCGTTTTCATGCAACTTTTAGAAACACTACCCAGCTTCACCTGGGGATCCCAGTCTTTGCCGCCGATCCTCACCCAATGCTCACCCGGCCCCTCTCCACTTCATAGTTCTCTTCCTCAACCTTATAGACTTGCATCATGGTCAGAGAATATCCATCTATCTTTTCCGATACTAGATAGTATCATAGTCTGGACTTCTGCCGAACCAAATCTTGAAGACATCAAGCACAACATAACATTCGGTTCCCCCTGTCTATCTGATCTATATTATCGAGTTGTGAGGATTGACTGTCTGCTTAAAGCAGCTTCCTTTTAACCGAAATAGATTTAAAAAGCCGTTTCTTACCTATATAATTTGTCCTGGAAGCTTCATCTTCACTGAAGAATTTGCATGTAAACAACGTGTGTGAAGTAAATTGCATACAGCTGATTAAACAGTTGATGAGATCTTGTGAACTTTAACTGTTCTTTACATCAAGTAAACATTAAAAGAGCTATGAACCAGACTTAAAAGTTTTATGCTTTTTATCTCTTCCCATGAACTCTGTGACTCTGTGTTTTGGCATCATCCCGCAAATCCCACACGAGTACCTATTGTGTGTACCTGGCCAGTCTGTGTTTACATTTATTTAGTTATCAGGTTTTTTAGAACGCAGGGTCAGGCAGTCCCTGGGGAAACTGGAGATTAAGGGCCTAAAGGGCCCAACAGTGAAATCACTCTGCCAACCCTGGGATTTGAACCCACAGCCTTCCGATCACGGGCACAGTGTCCATATCTGGTATCTCTTCTGTATCCTGGCAGGTTCTGGTGGTGGGCTGCGGGAACTCGGACCTCAGTGAGCAGCTCTACGATGTTGGCTACCGGCAGCTGGTCAACATCGACATCAGCGACACTGTGGTGTCTCACATGAGGCAGCGAAACGCTGAGCGGCGACCGGATCTTACCTTCCTGCAGGCTGATGCCACCCAGACCGCCTTTGATGGTGGCAGCTTCCAGGCGGCGCTGGACAAGGGCACCCTGGACGCCATGGCGGCGGAGGAGGGGGGCAGTCTGGCAGGGCGCATGCTGGCGGAGGTGGGCCGCGTGCTGGCGGTGGGAGGCCGCTACGTCTGCGTGTCTCTGGCCCAGGAGAGCGTGTTGCGGCTGGCAGTTGAGCACTTTGTCCAGGAGGGCTGGGCCATCAGGGTGCACTGCCTTGGGACCCAGGAAGAGCAGGATACCCTGTCCGACTCAGCCTCCTTCGCCCTGCCCGTCTTCGTGTTGGTCTGCACCAAGTTCCGCCAGCCTCCCCCGGCCCCAGTGCTGGAGATGTGTCAGGGCGAGAACGGCGCCCCCTGCAGGTTGTCCTCGACCGCTGCACTGCTCTCCGCGGTCAGGGAGCGACAAGCCTACGCCCTTGTTCGCCACAAGCTCCGTTCTGGCACGTGCGTGGGCCAGAGCTCCGCCCTAACGCTGTGCCACGCCCCCACGGGGCGCCCCCGCTACACACTGACAGTGCTGGACGGCCCTCAGCTGGCTAAGGCGCCTCTTCGTAACCACTTCGCTATTTTTATCGGTGCGTCTCCAAACACGCAGACACGTGCTGTGTCTGAGTCACATGAGGACGTGTATACAGATGCTTTACGATGGCTCAACATATGATATTTGAACTTTACAATCGGCCAGTAGCGGTGCACATTCAGTAGTCATCAAACTTCCCAGGCTAATGATAAGTCGTACGACATTTTCTACTGATGCTGGGCGACGTCGGTGTCCACACTTCTAGTCTCTAGCTACCGTCAGCATAAACACCTGAAACACTGTACAGTGTTTAGCGACATATCATATGGTGTTTAGCGACATATCAAATGGTGTTTATTCTGTGTTCAACTAAATAAACTTGTATTAATTTATTTACTTTTCTGTTGCTGGTATTTAGTTACAGTAATTATTTAGTTATTCAGTGACCGTACAGTAGTCTCCCCGTATCTGCAGGTGATGCGTTCCAATACCTACCGCGATAATTGTGTACCATCCGTGGACCCCATATGACATGATTTTTGTGTGCATACATATGGTAAATGATAAATTTCACACAGTAAGGCACTGCCAACATTACCGTAATAAAGATTTCAGTACTGTACTTTCTCGAATGAAAGTGCTTCTGCTGTTTTAGCCTAATTCAGAAGAGACGATAGACAATGGAAAAAAGATCATGTATCTCAGGGATGACAGATCAATGACAGTCATGCTTTTCATACCCCTCAAAGGACAAAGGAACTAGGAAAAATATATGCTACATATTTTCAAATTTATTTATTTTTTTGGTGCTGCGGTAAACTGCAGATAATTGAAACCACAATTACCAAAAGAGCAGATACCGGGGGGACTATTGTAGTTTTTCATTATTCATGTCATCTTCAACTTATGATGTATTCCACTAGAAATGGGTTCATCAGAACGTACCCCCAGCGTAAGCTGAGGAGCTCCTGTATTTGATCTTATGTATTTACATGCAGTGTAAGTGCTATACTTTAAAAAAAAAAAAAAAAAAAAGTGAAAAATGTGCTAGTATGAGTTGAATATCAGTAGAAAGTGAAAATACTGCGTAATCGTGTGGTTTGGGCTGTGTCACCCGACTTAACGCTGAAACATGGTGCACTTAAAACAAGTTGCTTGTTTTGTATGTATTTAAATATATAATGAGTGTGTATTGTATAACTCAGATCTGTTTGCCAGGGGAACCCCCTTAAAAATGATAAAATATTCATAAATTTTTCAGTGCCTCAGGGCCGAGAGTCTGATTGGCTGTATGGCTCCGCCGAGGGGCGTGACCAACTGGCACGCAGCGCGAACTTCCGCCGGCTGGTCGTTGTGGCGATGCATCGGGACCAGGAGTACGCAGACATGCAGTCGGTCCAGTCTGAGCTGTCCCCCATGGTGATGGAGCTCGCCCCGCGTGGGATGCCAGCCAATCAGCAGGTAGACTCTTACTCAGTGACAAATGAAAATCCTTGAATTTCTGGATAAAAGCTTCTGTTGAAGAGCTGTAAAGGACAGCAAAGAATCCCGGGCGGTTATTCGGGGGCTCAGAGGGACGGCCATATTTTCATCCCTCCCCCCTCGTTTCTCTTGCAGGTGCCCTTCCTGTCGGTTGGGGGGGAGCTGGGCTGGCGGGAGGTGGTCAGCCGCGGTGTGAGCGCGCTCAGTGGCGAGTACTCAGTGGAGGACGTCCGTGGTGAAGATGGGTTCCTGTACCGGCGCCTGGTCTTCCTGGATAATGCCGGTGTGGTGCAGTCTGAGAGCCGGTTGTGCGCTCCGGCCCCCGGTGAGACACTCGTGGGCACCTCTGTGGGGCTGATCAGGGAGATTTGAAGCTCTGTGTGGTGTTTATCCGGGTTAGTTTATCCGTAATCCATACGCCGGTATCCGGATCAGTTAGAGCAACACTTGATGTGTATCGGGTAACCATAGCCCACTTAGTTCTGATTTCATTCAGTGCCCTGCTGTTGGAGCCATGGACAGACTGCTCGAGGGGAATTCCCTTAGGAAATATTTGCAACTTAGAATCAGAATCCCTTAATTAGCCAAGTACAAAAAAATACAAGGAATTTGTTTTGGTGCATGTGCTGGCAGGAAGTATGCATACAATACATACAATCAAGATAAAAATATGAAAAACATCCATACATCCATCCATCGGTTTTAATAGAATAAAAGCAAGATAGAGGCAGAAACAAATAAAAATGTGCAAATAATAAATTACTTATAAATGAAGATGAAAAGAGCAGATGTAGGGCACAGACAGCTTCGAGACGTGTGCAGATACACTGTCAGTAAGAATAAATTAGCTGTTTATGAGGCTAAAGGTATTAGTTGTTTAGATCACAGTGAGGGGAATGACAGTAGAATCTCACTGCCCCCCCCCCCCCCCCCCCCCCCCCCATCTCTCTGTCTGTCTGTCTCTTTCTCTCTTTCACTGTCCCACCAGCCTCCAGTGGTAAAAGGAATAAAAAAAAGAAGTCCAAGCTGCCCCCCCCTGCCATGAAGGGGGGGATGGCTTCTGTGGACCGGAGCTTCCTGTGTTGCGCCCATCACCGGGTCATGGTGGCCGGACTCTCTCTGCTCGGTTTGGAGGATTTGGGTAAGCTCAGATGGCCCGGTTCCGCTCCGAGGGTCCCATGGCTCGGTGCTCCTGTCTCGGTTCTGATGCCGCCCCCGATTCCACCCTCTCCCCAACAGGCCCCCCCATCACGCTGCTACTGGTGGGGCTTGGCGGCGGCGGCCTACCCCAGTTCCTGCGCGACTTCATCCCGGGTGTGTCTGTGGATGTGGTGGAGCTGGACCCGGAGGTTCTGGACGTGGCTCAGCGGTGTTTTGGGTTCCAGCCCGACGAGCGGCTGAAAGTGGTGCTCGGGGACGGCCTGGAGCACATCAGTGGATTGGAGGCCAAAGGTCAGTCAGCCTGCGGGGCGGGGGCACTGGCCCCAACAGAAAGCTGATTGGCTCCTGGAGTGCCCCCTCCCCTGTCACTCACCAATACAAAACATATCATTGGCTAATGATAAGATTGGCCGCTCTGTATGAATTATGGCCCCTCTTAAGGCCTCCTCTTAAAACCAAAATCCCCCTGCTGAGAGGGACACAGTAAACTGACATGCTGGTCCAGGCGTACATCTAAGTGTACAGCACACATGCATGTGTGTATAAAAAAAAATTAAGAGACCACAGCAACATTTGTATCTTCACTTACTTCTCAGTTTATGGGTTTAGGCCTCTGTAAAATGTACATTTCTTTGCAAACTGCAGCCTGGTTCCTCTCCATTTCTCATTAATGAAGGGCTTCTTCCTTGGACTTCTAGGAACTTGCAGTGCACTTCACACCACTTAATGTTTCCCATTCCTTTTGAAGGTCACTTGATGTCATCCTACGATTTATGAGGCACTGTTGGATAAATTGACGGTCATCTCTGGCATTAGAAAGTTGCTTTTGCTCTTCACCTGGCTGGTTTTTCGGTTATTGCCAGTGTCTCCTGCTTCACCTTGTTCTTGGGTACTGCTGTCTTAGAACCTTTGAGCCAGGAAGCATCCTGTCTCTCAGTGTAGCCTTCTGCCAGCAGAACAAAGATTAAATCAGGATTTAACAATGCAGATATTTTAAACAATATAGAGTGGTCTCTTTTTTCTAGAGCTGTATATATGTGTGATGTGTGTACACTGGAGATCAGCATACCAGATAGGTAGGTACATAAATATATACTCTAGTAATCCCCATGGAAATGCAGGTTTACTACAGCACAACACACATTTAGACGGTAATAAACAGTAACAGTGTAAAGAATGTCAGAGATTGTTGTATCGTGTTCAGTTTTCCTCGTCCACTGATATACAGCTTGCACATTGTAAAATTAAGGAACATTTTATTTTAGCTCTTTGAGGTGTCAAGATTAAATTATGGTCATAATAAGTTGAGGGGTAAATTACCCCTGCTTACGAGCCAGCTGAAACTGCCCCAGCACACTGGAAATGATGACAGGGAGTTTAGGGTGTGGGTTTGTGTTTCCTGGTGGTTTGTGTTGGCATTTGCTCAGGAGTCTCTAATGACCATCGCCTGGTCTTGTCATATATTCCCCTTCCTTTTCACACTCGTTGCAGGCGAACGTGTTTATGATGTCATCATGTTTGACGTGGACTGTAAGGACCCCACCCTTGGAATGAGCTGCCCTCCACCTGCCTTTGTGGAAACGGCTTTCCTGGAGAAAGTACGCAATCTGCTGACTGCTCGCGGTATGGCTTCTCATTTTATTTCACATTTAATCAGTTTGACCCCCAGCGTTTCATAAACATTCCTCTCTGTGCTTGTATCTCTGTTGCTGATAAATATCTAACCACTAGTCATTTTTGACTAAGTATTTGAAAAGTTCCACTTGAAATATCAGAATGAGCAGTTGAATCCAATGACAAACCACCAGCTCCTCATTTGTTACAGGGTCTGAATTTCACTTTAGGTGGTACTGGGGGGATCTGCTTATGTTCTGTGACCGGATGAATAGAACCTTGTGTGCAATTTGTGCACATTTTCCCCAGTAGTGTCTGAAACTCTTCTAGTCCTTATTCACTTCTAAAGGCTAGTTCACTTTTCTGTGTGCGCTTTTGGGCTGCGGACGGTCGTCCGCGCTGCAGCTTGTGTTCATACTACATTTGGCTGCGGATGTGGATGATCGCAGTCACAGCAGTGACATTCCACCAGAGCAGAAGAGGGCCGATGTATTGCAACAAACACAAATACATGCAGTGTAGTGAAACTGGAAAACTTTTATGAACAGATTCTACATTATTAAAGTTTTGGATGGTATTAAGGTAATACGGCATATCACAGCATCTCTAAATCCAATATCCTTGCAAAAAAAATAGCAGAGGCAGTATAATGTCTGGGCAATATAAGTTATTTGGACATTAAAAATTAGATATGCAGATACCTTTGCACCTTCTACAATAATTCTTCTTCTTCTCTTTCTTGGTCCACGTCTGCTCTGTGAAACTCAGTGGCGCCACCTACAGCCAATAATTAAACGTCATGCAGCAGACAAAAAGAATCTGGGCTGCATATGCACCGTCCGCAGCCATCCGGTGCAAACCCCTGATGATGAAATTTACGTCACCTTACCCTATGCACGACAGAAATCACACGTGGAAGAGTGAAGTGTGAATTGGCCTAAATGCCAGCTCTAATTGTGCTGGGCTGTCATATGCAAGTGTAACATAACCAGAATGTCACCGTGGAATTAGAGGAACGTTTGCAGCTGGAATGGCTGTTTCCTCCTTTGTTTATGGAAAGCTACTAAGCATTAAAAAAAACTGCAGGCACCCAGAGTAACTTGTGGAAGGCCTAGCAGAGCTCTTATGTTAACAAATGTGTCTTTTATTTATGTCAGATGAACTTTGGATAATTGGATAATTATTTAGAGTACAGAGGCCCATCCCTCTGGTAATAGTCCTAATCTCTCTCTCACTCTTTCTCTCACTCTTTCTCTCACTCACTCAGGCATGTTCATGCTGAACCTCGTGTGCCGTGACTCTGCACTGAGGGCGCGCGTGTTGAGCCGGGTGAGGGACGTCTTCCCCTGCGTGCTGTCAAGGGACATCGAGGGGGAGGTCAACGAAGTCCTTCTGTGCATCCACCGAGAGGGCGAGCAGGGAGAGAAAGACCGTGCAAATCCCGAGGAGCTGCGAAAAGCCTGCCGCCGCCTGCAGGGGGCGCTGCACACGTCAGATGTGTCCCATAAAGCACAGATTGACGTTGCAGCACTGCTGGAAGATCTGAAAATTGCCTGAGACTCAGTCCTGGGAGAAGAATGAAAGTACTGAATGACAGTGAGAAAGTACTGAAAGATAATGCGATGATGTGCGACAAGCAGCGATTAAATGATGGTAAGAATAATGGAAAAATAAAATATGTCTCCCAGAATGCTTTATGTGTGTTCATATCTTCCTCAATCACATCATTAAAAGGCTTTTATTCTAAAATGAGATCCTCTCTTTTGCTTGTTTTTCACACTGGAAGGTTTAATAATGACGCATGTTCCCCACTATGAAGTCTGAGCTCTCATATAAGTTGATAGCCAGCTCTGCTGCATTTCCTGGTTACCGTTGTGGTGCCAGCTTTGCGGGGACCATTGCTCTGATCCCAACGGGGCCTTTGAATCCAGCCCGTGTTGTGTGTGTTTGCACCAGCCACTGTGGTGTCTCTCCACTATCCAAAGACAAATGGCTATTTTGATTCGGTGCCTCCGAATTGCTGATAAGCACTCTGTGAGTACTCTCTGATGGCCTGGCATCCCATCCAGACCACACCCATCCCATCCAGACCACACCCATCCCCTCCAAACAGCCAATGCTGCCACACTGACCAACATAAGCAACTGAGGGATAGTGCAGTGTGTATGTTACCATTTAAGTTTTGCACCTTTTGCTTAAACTGGATTTTAAATCATTTCAGCTAATAATCCATTCAGTTTCAGTTTGTCTTACTATTTTATCTGGCTTCTTAGATACATTATTGAATGTCACTAGAGTGAACCAGGTACAGAGTTGTTCTTGTCTGAGAAGTTCTCCCTTGTATTTTTTAGTGCACTGGTAGTTATACAATTTCAGAGGTGTATCGTAATATCAGGGTTTGCTATTTAAACATTACTTTTTTCCACTAGTACTAAAACATATTTTGAATTCGTATGTGAAGCAACCGAATCAGGAAAAGAATTTGTACCATGAAAATGAAAAGTAGCGCAAAACGTGCGCTGGTCCAGATCTCATTTTGCAAAATCATAATTGAAGTAGTTTTTCAGTGGTATCACTGCTTACTACTGCTGACTAGGAAGATCTCAGGCACGCTGCCGTAGTGTTCTTTTTATTGTGGCATGCGAACTAGCGCCGTGTTATTTATATGCCCATGGCCTGCAGCAGCACTACCATGTACATACCGAAGGGAGGCGAGCCCTTCGTACGTGGGTGTGACTTATATAGGGCTGGGATGGATGGGCGGGGTCTTCGCCGCCGTTCCGTTCCGACCATTGGTCATCGGCGCACTTGTCTGGTCGCCGGAGGCGTGTCGTCGCGCGTGCTCGTATCCGCGCGTGCGCGCGCGCGAGACCGTTAACTGGGCTGTCAGGAGTGGTGCTGGAGCCAAAGCTGCGTGCGTCGCGGTGGCCGAGCCAAATCGTATTGGGTCGAGCCGAACTGAACCGATCCAGAACTGAACCCCGCCGGACCGAGTATTCGTTTTATCCGAAACTTGCTACAGAACGAGCGCAGGGCAACCCAGTAACTGAAAGATAGCAATAACAAAGCACACCGTGGTGCCGGGCCGGGCTCTGGTCCAGTTCCTGTTATTTTCCTGTGTTCGGACCCGGACTTCGCAGGTACCGAATTCCCAGTGACAGCACATCGGATATTCGGACTAGGTAAATAGAAATAAATAAAACAAATGATTCATAGTCACTTTGCAGGCGGTCGGTGGGTTAGTTGACGGTCGTTACCGCGCGTGACAGGAGACCAGTTTCCCATAACATCACCATGCTTTCCAGGCTCCATGGTGCTGGTGTCTCCAGCAACCGACTGATTGGGCTTTGAAACCTCGCCGCCTGGCCGTCCCTGTCGCCATCCCCCCTCCCTCCCATCCGCCATGGGTAACCGCGGGATGGAGGACCTGATTCCGCTGGTGAACCGGCTGCAAGACGCCTTCAGCGCCATCGGCCAGAGCTGCAATCTAGACCTGCCCCAGATCGCGGTGGTCGGCGGGCAGAGCGCAGGGAAGAGCTCCGTGCTAGAGAATTTCGTCGGCAGGTAGGCTGCGGGATTGACTCTCATAACCATCACCACCCCCACCCCACCCCACGTCCCCGAAGGACCTGCGCATCTGATATGCTGGTGTCTGACCCACGCCTAACAATACAGCAGCTGTTTGGATCCAGGGTACCACATGCATGCTGTTTGTCTGCATCTTTGTCAAGGGAATAAGTGTTTCTTTTTTTGTCCCCCCGTTGTTTTTCTGCTGTGTGATGCTCTCCCAGGAACCCTTGTGTCTTGTTCAACTGTGTCCTGTCTATTGTATTTCTTCAGGTCGTGTGCACATAGAAAATGAAATGCCTGTCTGCGTTTGCAGAGGGGTCTCTGTGGGAGTATGTTTTTCTTGGGGCTTGGAGGAACCACCAGTGACCCGGCCCTTTATGAATGGATGATAGTGTGTGGAAAAGGGTTAATGCACTTACTTTTCCCAAAGTAATTGGGATGTTATTTCTGTAGGACATGCCCGCTCATTTGCTCCCAAAGACATGTTATCAGCACGCACTGGTTGTCTTCGGTCTGCCTATTGCACACGTTGTTTAGATAGATAGATAGATAGATAGATAGATAGATAGATAGATACTTTATTGATCTCAAGGGAAATGTAGGACATTTAGTTTTTGAATATTCACTTCCTTGATACTTGTTCCTAATCTGCATTAGTAGAATCTGTGTTAGTGTGGGGGGATGGGGGGTGGTAGCAGTTTCAGGGTTTGTCTGGTGATGACCTGCTCTGCCCATTTGGTGATGCAAAGCAGCTTGAATGGTTTGTATTTGCTGCTTGTTGATAATGACATCCTGACAGCACAATCACATGCGTTCATGTTTGCATGTAAACATGCCTCTGCAATGCTTAGATGAAATACAAGTGAGTCTACTTGCTCTATGCATGCTTGAGCAGATTGTCATAATTAACTATCCGAAATGTTTATATAATTTGTGATATGGAAAAAATAACATATATTTGGAATTACTGCCCATGTCTTTTCATGATGCATATAAAAGCTCCACCTCCCATTGTGAATGCCCGTGTTATCACCATGCTGAACATTGTGAACACATCACCACTGTTCCCCACTACATCCTAAGCTGGCCTGCAGTTGTTGCTGTATCATTTGTTTTTTTTTTTGTTTTTATTTCTTCACCCAGCCATTATAATCTGTGACCATCTAAAATTGACATTGCATCCCGTGTATGAGACCCAGTTCATCCTCTGCAAAGAGTGACCTCATCAGGAAATAACCAGTCTAAATCATTAAATATCTTTATAATATAAACTTTATCTCTTTGCAGGTGATATTGTTGGTGCCATGATCTTCTGACTCAATCTGTGGATGCTTTATTCTAGAGCAGAACCTCATACCTGTAGCTCATGGTCTTGTGTCTGAATTTAAGAACAGAAAACCAAAACCTACACCACTATAATTTAGCCTCATAGAAAGAACCACTTTTATACTTCAGCTGCAGTGTTTAATGCTGAATAAAGGTGACACGTGGTGCTTTGTGAAGAGGAAAGGAGGAAGCATTAGCATTTGAATTAGATTGAGTAAACAACCAGGCACCTCAAACCCGCTGCCTGCTGTGTAACTCTGTGTTAATGAGAGGAGTGTGGCTTCAAACCAGCAAATCACTGACAGGTTTAACATGCCGGGTTAAGCCACACAGCCACCGACGACACTGTCCCACCCAGGACCGTTCTGAAGCTTTCTGACATTATCTGTGTTATTTATTGGATTTAAGAAATATTGCAAATATTTTTATTTGATCCTCATCATAGTCATGAAAATGGAAGTGAACTGTGAGTCCACCTAGTGATTATTATTATAACTGGATTATTGTAGTAATTCCTGGTTGTATGTGATATTGTATATGTAAGTATGTTCCTTTTGTTTTTAAACATGTTCAGTCTGGGGTGTGCTTTGCTGTACGAGGTCCATGTCCCTCATTGGATAAGTGGTCATTGGAAAGTCAGTTACATTATTGAGCTTTTTCATGTGCAGTTTATAGACTGTGCCCATCATGTGCTAAACTGAATGCAATTTAATCACAGTTTGATACATTTGGCTGGTCATTCAGATGCACTGTAGTGCTTTGAGGATGCTTTAGGGGTCTGTAGAGCTCCTGCTGTCTCAACTTGCACTGATGTGGATTTGGACTGTTCTGCATTCCGCCATTTGTTGCTGTGTCATCTGCCCCGGCAGCCCTGGCTACCGCAGCAGTACTGGTGAAGGCGACCTTGTGGCTGGGCAGGTGACAGACACACACACAAAAGCATGCGCACACATCTCCAGACAGAGGAGAGTGTGGTACCTGCACAGGGAATGGAGGATACCGACCAGGCTTGGCACTGGGAATTGATGTGGATCTATTGACAGCATGCTAGAATCAATTACCTAAATAAAATTCCCAAATTGGCCAATCTGGTGACCAGCAGCTAGAGAATTATCACAAAGTGAGTGCTGAGATTGTTCTGCTGTGCTGTGTAGGGAGATTAGTAACTATGAAATTTACCTCCGTTACCAGGCAACACCCACAATGAGTTAGAATTCTGCTAATATTCCCTGCTGACCTGACAGCTTTGAGTGGAAAATGAACAATGTCAAGGCAGTGCCCTAACTAGGTCTAAGTGCTTGGGTGACACTTGGGACTCTTTCATTGGGTTCTCTTTCTGTATATATATTCATTCCTTTCATTTCTGCTTCTGGCTACATTATCCCAAAAAGCCGGTATTTCTTAGGAAACGTCATATCTGCAGGGGTATTTCTCATTCTATGTCGGAGTGACCAGAAATTAAGATGCATCCATTTTTAGCAAATATTGTTTTCTATGCATGAATTGGAAATGAACAAAGACAGATTTGTTCGCTTGGGACCTCGGTGAAGCACAGCCTCATGTCTGTGTTATAGCACTGTCTGCTTTGTCACTTGTCATCGTGCAAATTGGGAAGGTGTCATGTCTACCTTTCTATCATTTTCATGAATTGAAAGGTGTTAAGTCAACCTGTCAGCTTAGAGCAGTGTGCCGCGTCTCACGTTCATTCAGTTAGCCGGGTAGAATGTGCCAAGTGGGCCTGCTGGTGAGATGGGCTGGTCACACACCACATGGCCAGTCCACAATTTTGCCAGTCATTCATAATCACTGGGTTGTTCTCCCATTCATTCTGCTTTGATTTCATGTTTGCAAGGAAATTACACCTCTAACACATCTCACCACTATAGAGGCAAATGTTGATGTGTGATATCGTAATATTGGGCCTGGAACTTTCACGTTTCTTAAATTGTAAATTGAACATCTGCTATTGAATATCAGGCACTTAGGTCAGTTTCCTCAAATGCCCTCTTAAAGTTATGGGTAATATTAGGAAACTGTAGCTGTGAAGTAGTTTGGGGTCGAACATTTGATCTTACACACACACACACACACACACACACACACACATATATATATATATATATATACACTGCTCATAGACCTCTCAGTGCATGGGTAAAGATGTAAGCATGGTTGTGCTCCTGGCAAAGTATTGTAATATTAATTTGCAGTGTTTTGTGTGGTGGCAGTGATTAAACACACTTTATGGAATTAGTGTCATGGTCATGGGCTCCAAAGTTTGTCTGCTTGTGTCGTTTTCCTTCAGATAACAAAGACCTCAGATTTAGAAACTAAAAGGCTGCAGGTGTCTGTGCCAGCTGGGGAGCAGTGCTTCAGTAAACATTACCTTAAAAAAGTCACTTTGCATGCGTCTAGCAAATAAGAGAGGAAAGAGGCTGAATAAATGATTATTCAAGGTCCCCTGGAGTGCGCTGGGCTCGGGGGAGTTATTGCATGCTGCACTGATCTGCCCATCCGTCACACAGACCTGCTGGGGTCAGGCCTTCTGCGCTTCCTTTGAGCATAATTCAGCTCATCTGATATGCAGGTGCTGCTGAATTAGCCTGAAGGACACTGATGGAGCTCCTAGCTCAGCAGGGTGTCTCTGTTTACACTGGCCCAGCTTGCCAGACCCACCATTGTGTCAGTAAAATGCTGCAGCTTCCGTAGTGACCAAGTTCACCATAGAGAGTAGCACTTTATACCATGAGCATTATGTCGTATACCCTGTACAAGAAAGACTATTATGTGGAGCGGTTTGCTAGTGAATGGCGTCCTTGGCTTGGCGGGGTATGTAGGACAGGCCTCACCTGCTGGGGGCGCTCCCCGTCTCGTGTTGTGCTCATTAACTGGGTCTCCTCCCTGGCGGCGCCTCCCACAGCCTGTCAGCTTTTAATCTCTCTCGCTCTCTTTCATCAAATGAGTACATGTCCCCTTACCACAAAATGGCAGGGAAAGATGAGCTATGAGTTTGCCCATAGATACACCTGGCATCTCTCTGTGTCGGCCTATGCAGTGTCATTATAATTATTATAATTAAAGATCTCACTAAAATGTGCAAGTATCTGACGGTCTGCTGCCTTTTAAATTGCCAGACTGGGAAGCGTGAATTCATGACATGATTCTCTTTGACTTTGTTCCTTAGCAGATGAGAGGAGTGTTGGCGATATTAGAAGTAACCCTTTGTGGCTTCCATGCTCTTGGGTGTGGCACCTCACTCATGGTGAGGTTGGCAAACATAATAACTGAAGGCAGCATGTTTTCCATGATGTCCAGCTGTGTTTACAAACTGCAGTTACATTTACGTTTGTGCCGCACTTTGCTGTTTCAGTGATTATTTCTTGAGCTAGCAGCTTTCCTCGTGTCATTATTTCCTTTGATGTTCCATAACTTTTTCTGAGCTATTAGCTAAGTTCTCCCCAAACGAGCTTGATGGGCCGAATGGCCTCCTCTCGTTTGTAAATTTCTTATGTTCTTATGTTCTTATGTTCTTATAATAATGTTGCTTTTGATGGCAGTATCTCTGTGTCTAGTGCATGCTACATGTGTTATCCTAGCATTTATGGGCCTCAGTATTTTCTTAATTTTTATTGATGGTGATTTTATTGAAATGGCTGTAAACTTGACATCAATCAGGTGCAAATGACCCATAAACAGAGGATTTCAGGGCGGCCATCCAAATCGAACAAAGGTGTTCCGGTGTATATGGGTCTGCTTGCATTCTGACCAGACAGGCAATCTGGTGCTGAGCCTCTCCGGGGGGGCAGTAGGTCTTTCAAGGTCATTGCAGTAGACAGGGACCATAATGATGGAGCGTCTGGCTCACACTGAGGGAGGTGCTGAGGATTGGGGGCCGGGGGGGGGGGTTGCAGTGTTGGTGTTCTCCTTTTCCGAAGATGCCTGTTTTGCAGGGACTTCCTGCCCAGAGGCTCTGGGATCGTCACTCGCCGGCCACTGGTCCTGCAACTCATCAGCTCCAATGCAGGTACAACTGTGTGCTGGAGTTTCAGCATCGGGTGCTTCACTCTCTGTGGCTGCAAGGGGGCGCCACTGTATAAACATGCACTTTACCCATCCGCATTAGCCTACATGCTGCTCACTACGGACTGAAACCGGGTCTTGTCTGGTGGATTGGTGGTCGGGCATGTTTAAAGAAACGGCCACCAGAGGGTGATGTTTCCACTCACCAGATTTAATGGTCCCTGTTGTTTTTCCTATCACAATGAAAAGTTCTACATATTTAGTCTGGCTGAGATACTGGCTTTTCTTCAATATATTTATTAGAATCTGAGACTGATGTATTACTACTACACTGACCACAAATATGGTTTGAATAAGGGGCAGTGCCTGTAGCCTGTTCCTGGATTCCTCAGCTTTGCAGTATTGTGCAAACTTTCAGAGAAATGGAGCTTTTGAAATAAGGTCAGACAGAGTAGTGGCTGTACCCTTGTCTCCTTCTCCCTTAAGTATTTATGGTTGATGTCGCAGGGAGACACAAAGATAGCCTGTCTTCTTATAGCCTGGTCTCTTTGGAAGGCATGTAGGATTCAGAAGGGGATCACAATGGATTTGACCTGTGTACATTTATGACTGAGCAGAAAATATTGGTCTGCTGTGTGAGTGTGCATTTTGTGTTGTTGTTTTAAGTCTTTGACCCCGGAGACCATCATACGCTTCCTGGTTACCCACCGAAACATCCATGTCCCCCCCCCACCATTTTCCCTCCACCCTCCAGAATATGCCGAGTTCCTCCATTGCAAAGGGAAGAAATTCACTGACTTCGACGAGGTTCGCTTGGAGATCGAGGCAGAGACGGATCGCCTCACAGGGGCTAATAAGGGCATTTCTCCTGTGCCCATCAACTTGCGCGTCTGCTCCCCGCACGGTACGGATCCAGCTCCCAGCCCAGGCCCCACCTCCAGGCCCCACCTCCTGGCTCACCCATAAACCTTAAAATACCCCAGACAGTTTAAGGGATAAGACCTTCAATCTGTAAATAAAATCATCTCACTACAGTTGGCTAAATGAGAAACAGACATTGCATTTCAAAATTAAGTGAGGAATTAATAAAAGCCTGGTGATCCTCTTAAGTTAACAGACGAATACAGACCCTGATGTTCTTTGTGGTGGTTGCCAGGGGCGTGCTTTGGCTAGCTCCTGTCCCCATGTGTCCATACCTTTGCGTTCCTCGTACCTTTGCATTTCTTCGATGGCCGTGTCGATGTGTCACCATGCCGCCATGCCTCTGTTGCCCTGTGTGTGCCCCACGCCCTGCAGTGCTCAACCTGACGCTCATCGACCTGCCCGGCATCACCAAGGTGCCTGTGGGGGACCAGCCAGCCGACATCGAATACCAGATCCGAGACATGATCATGCAGTTCATCTGCAGGGAGAACTGCCTCATCCTGGCCGTCACCCCCGCCAACACGGACCTGGCCAACTCCGACGCGCTCAAGCTGGCCAAAGACGTGGACCCTCAGGGTGAGAGCAGCCACTCTGATTGGACGGTGGCTGTTTTTGTGCTGGTGTAACACTAGTGTAACCTCTTGGGGCGTGCCCCTATAAACACCACCGTCTTGGTGGCTGCCTTCCGGACTGTATGCAGAAGGAAGGGATCAGGTTTAAGCATCTGCCAGGCGGGGTGACTTTATGGTGACACACGAGTGCAGCTGGCGTCAGTGTCCCCTGCCACCCGCCTCTCTCCTTAGGACTGCGCACCATCGGAGTCATGACCAAATTGGACCTGATGGATGAGGGAACTGATGCCCGGGATGTTCTGGAGAACAAGCTGCTGCCCCTACGCAGAGGTATAGCAGGGTGACCCCTCTGTCCGTCACAGGCCTCTTATGGTACAGTTACAGTACACAGCTCATTCCCCGCTGGTCAGAGCAGGTTAGGTCTCCTCCTTAAGTCCAGCTCCTCCGTGGGTCTCCTCCTGTCTCAGGAAGCTTTTCCTTGCCACTGCTTACTTTTTGGGGACTGGTGATTCAGGTCCTCGCCAGGGTCTTTGCCCCATGAAGGGAGTGTCCTTCCAATCAGGAAAAAATTGTTTGCTGTTGGTCACAAGTTTGAACCCCCCTCCTCAACGAAACTACTCCCCACCCCCACCCCAACAGGTTAAATGTAACCAGGCACCCTGGTGGACCCCCACAAAATGTATTTCTGGCTACGGACCTGCTTCTCATTCACTTTTTTCTGTGGAAAATCCTCAGAAGTGCTTGGGGGTTTGAAAGATTTTTCATTAGTTAGTGTGTCTGGGTTTTGCATTCCACAACACTACTGTAAATCATATCACAGGACTATGGAAACAAATGCATTTTTCGACACAGTTTGGCTAAAATTTTATGCTGGAAAAATAGTAACTTTACGGCGAGTAAGTTTTACAGAGCTGTCTGTATAAATGACCATGAAGTCCATGTGCTGACCGCACACATCCAGAGTTGAAGCAGGACCCCACTGCGCTGGCGGTGTGAGGCCACTGACCACACACTGATTCCCTAAAGAGCTGAAACACTTTATCTGTTTAGAGGTGCTATTGGAGTGGCTGCTGGCACTAATGAGGGGTTGAGAGCTTTTTTTATTTATTCAAGATCTTTATCATCAGGTTAGTAACCAATTAGGACACTGAAGGCTCAGATTCTGTGCCCCCCGCCCCCCCATCTTGTCAGGGTACATCGGCGTAGTGAACCGCAGCCAGAAGGACATAGAGGGCAAGAAGGACATCAAGGCTGCCCTCGCCGCAGAGAGGAAGTTCTTCCTGTCGCACCCTGCCTACCGGCACATAGCCGACAGCATGGGCACACCGCACCTGCAAAGGGCGCTCAACCAGGTGGGGCGGGGCGGTGGTGCAGGGGGGGGGATATCCTGTGGCTCCTGTAAAAGGCCGTATACATATAGTCAGAATGTCTTGTGATGGGGAGCGATGGTGTGAATGGACGTGTTCCTCACTGTGTGACCCCGTGCGTCTTTGCAGCAACTGACGAACCACATACGGGACACCCTGCCTGCCTTCCGCAGCAAGCTACAGACGCAGCTGCTGGCTCTGGACAAAGAGGCCGAGGAGTACCGCCATTTCCGGCCAGACGACCCCTCCCGCAAGACCAAGGCTCTGCTGCAGTGAGTATCCCCCCCGCCGCCCCCAGGGGTGGCCTGCCGCGGTCTTAAACAGAACCGTCACCCTGGTGCACTCAGTACCGTTTATACGTCGCCTGAAACCGGATCCTGACCCCCGTGCGTTAATCCACTCAGCAAGAGGTGACGAGAGGCCAAGCCGTGCAGAGCTCCGTGTGGACGCTGAATGTCAGAGAGCGCCTGAAAGCGATTTCACCATTTCCAGGAATGACACAAAGCGCAGCTCCCTGTGACACCGAGGCTTTATTTATAAACAGCACGCTTGTTCCTAGACAGACGCAGACCTGCCGGTTTGATTTCGGCGCTACTCGCTGACATGTTGGGAGCACAAAAGCAGGATTAATTTCCATTGCAAGCGGAGTGACGTCATGGGGAGCTGGGAGTCTCTTCCAGAAGTGCAGCGAGGCCCGGGACGGGGTTCCAGTCTGTCACAGGGCACAAACACGCGAGGTATCAGATCCAAAGGGCAGTTTAGAGGCACCTAACTTAAATGGCTGCGATCTGTGGGAGGAGGCAGGAAGAATCCCATGTAAACAGAATTGACATCATGCCACCCTCAGTTTTCAGGTGTCCTCTTAATGTCTTTCCTGTTATGGATGTGCCAGACTGTTTGGTTGTACTGAGGCCTCCCTTTATAAACCCATTGTGAATCCAGAAGCTTCCCTGTAGGCTGTGGATGGAGGTCCGGCACCCACCTGCCTGTAGCGTTCAGTTCTCTCCCGGTCCGCTTTCCGCACACATTCTTAGCTCAGCTTTTCCCTGGCAGGATGGTCCAGCAGTTCTCCGTGGACTTCGAGAAGAGGATCGAGGGCTCCGGCGACCAGGTGGACACGGTGGAGCTGTCCGGAGGAGCCAAGATCAACCGCATCTTTCACGAGCGCTTCCCCTTCGAGCTGGTCAAGGTGAGCCGGCCTGTGTCCTTCTGCTGCCAGGCCCATGTGGAGCGTCTGACTACAACGTACCCTCAAGTCTGGTGTGTCGGGCCAGTGCTGGCTTCGTCGTCTCTGCTAGCCCCCCGCCTCTCTACTATTTGTAGGCATCTGTCCTGTGCTGTGGCGAATTATTTGATGGAGAGAAAAGTCCAAATATGTGGCTTGAACACATTATCCCTGAAAAATGTGAGTGTGATTGGTGCCCATATGCAGCCTGATTTTGAGGAATGGGCAGCCCAGATGGTGCTTGGAAAACTTCTGTTTCTAATTGTGTGTAATAGATTAACTTCTAATGGGTTGCACGCAGTCTGCAGGAGAATAAGTACTGGTTGCATTTCTGCACCGTGGAGGCACCGGCAGGATGCCATTTCAGGCAGAACAAAACGTCATCATTCAAACGATTCGTCTGAGTGTGCTGCATAAATATAATGCTGTTTATTTTACACGCTAATTTGACTGTTATTGGAAAAAAGCTATTCATTTAAAATCAGTGACAGATGACTGTGATCTGTCATGATTCATGTTTTCCACTTGAAATGAAAATAGAAAGTTGGAAACGGTGAAGGAGGCAGGAGACTCTCTAACCTGCCCTTCATCACCCACAGATGGAGTTTGACGAGAAGGACTTACGTCGGGAAATTAGTTACGCCATTAAGAACATCCATGGGATCAGGTGAGATCGTCAGCCTGAGACTCGCATGCCTGATTCTGACACTCCTCTCTTAAAGGGTGTGTTTGCTTTTGTCCAAATTGGCACATATGGCCAAAGGGTTAGCGAAGGGGTACGGAACCTGACTCATTCTGGTCCTGATGGTAGCAGGCCACGGTGCCTGAGGCCCCAGCCATCATCTGTCCTTCCCTGTCACCCGTCTTTTGCTTTCGCTTTTTCGGCTCTCATCTCTGCCTTCCCCCTGTCTCCACCCTCTCTGGCCACCCTTTTGCCCCCGCGTGGCTGTCCACCTCCCCCAGGACGGGGCTCTTCACGCCGGACCTGGCCTTCGAGGCCATCGTGAAGAAGCAGATCGTGAAGCTGAAGGGGCCGTGCCTCAAGTGTGTCGACATGGTCATCCAGGAGCTTGTCAGCACGGTGCGGCAGTGCACCGTCAAGGTACCAGGCCTCCCGCTGAGCCTCCCGCTTGACCTCCTACAGGGCCTCCCATTGCATCGCCAGCAGGGCCTCCCACAAGGCCTCCAGCTTGGCCTCCCGCTGAGCCTCCTACTGTGCCTTCAGTAGGGCCTCCCACAGAGCCTTCTGCTGAGCCTCCCGCTTGACCTCCTACAGGGCCTCCCATTGCATCTCCAGCAGGGCCTCCCACAAGGCCTCCTGCTTGGCCTCCCGCTGAGCCTTCAGCTTGGCCTCCCACTGGGCCTTCTACTGTGCCTTCAGTAGGGCCTCCCACAGAGCCTTCTGCTGAGCCTCCCGCTTGACCTCCTACAGGGCCTCCCATTGCATCGCCAGCAGGGCCTCCCACAAGGCCTCCAGCTTGGCCTCCCACTGGGCCTCCCACAGAACCTCCCGCTGGGCCTCCCACAGGGTCTTCCACCTTCCTGTTCACAGCACCTCCCCTCATTTCTGCTGTTTCTGGCCAAGGGTTCTTATGCACCTTGTATTGCTCTGATGTGGCAATTTTCACCGATGCTGATAACCGATATATTTTTGTCTAATATTGTTGATACTGACCAGCTAACCTTCGATACATCATTTTTCATTCTTTGGGAGACAAATGATCGGTCTGCAGGTCCGATTTGCTTCTTGCGAGCTGTTACTGTGAGGCTCTCCCAGGTGCTGAATGAGCTGACAGAATCCCTCACCCTTCACTACGGTTATGTCCAGTATTGTACTAGTTGTGTCTTTAGCCCTGGTGCTTCTGACTTTGAATATTGATATAGTTCAAATATCAGCGAACAAGATTGTCACATTAGACTGATGCTGATGTCTTGACTTTTAACAAAGTTCGACCGATATGTTAATTGATACATCGTGCAGTTCTGCTTATACTGCTGGATCGTAATGAATCACCGCTGGCTGTCCTACTGAATATCCTTCCACACTGGCCTGATTCCCCCCTAAATCGAATGCCAGCGTCCCACATATGGTGCGGCTGTCCTCACGCGGTGCTGCGGTGTGTCCTCTTTCAGCTGGGGTCCTTTCCGAGGCTCCGGGAAGAGACTGAGAGAATCGTGACCACACACATCCGGGACCGAGAGAGCCGGGCCAAAGACCAGGTGGGCCACGCCGAGCCTCACGCACTGCTGCCTTATCAGGGCCTCTTTGGGCTGGGTAGCACTCAATCATACAGGAAGGGCTTTTCATTAACAGCCAGTCCAGCTCCTTCGTGCCCACAGTGGGTGTGTTCCCTGCTCTGCGCCATTCACATACTGTCCCTAACAGTCTCGTCTTTTTCAGGTCTTGCTGCTTATTGAGGTCCAGCTTTCATACATCAACACAAACCATGAGGATTTCATTGGATTTGCAAAGTAAGTTGTGATGTCATGGAGGGCGGCCGTACATTTCTGCAGAGCGTCTGAGTCATGTTCCTGGAAATGTCTCACTTGCTGTATGAACATGGTAGTTAAGAGAGTATTATCATAATCACGGGATTTTGCTGTTTCTGTGTGATTGAACGTTGATTGAATGTCATATTTCGGTTTGTAAAATATAATCCTGTCCCCCACCTCTCACAGTGCTCAGCAGAGAAGCACCACAATGAGTCAGAAGAGCTCTGCGGGGAACCAGGTGGGTCCAGCTGAGCCCCCGTGGATGAGGCGTGTGTGTGAGGCATGTGACAACCTGTATGTGTGTGTGAAGCGTGTGACAGCCTGTATGTATGTGAGGCGTGTGACAGCTCGTATATGTGTGAGGCGTGTGACAGCTCATATGTGTGTGAGGCATGTGACAGCTCGTATGTGTGTGAGGCGTGTGACAGCTCGTATGTGTGTGAGGCGTGTGACAGCTCGTATGTTTGTGAGGCGTGTGACAGCTCGTATGTGTGTGAGGCGTGTGACAGCTCGTATGTTTGTGAGGCGTGTGACAGCTCGTATGTTTGTGAGGCGTGTGACAGCTCGTATGTCTGTGAG